TGGGGCGGAGGGGGCTGCCTGGCAGGCCGGCAGCCCCCCAGGGCGCCTTTCGATCACTTGCTTTTCTGTGTGGTTTACAATTCATGTCGGGGTTGTGTGGCAAGGGATTGAAACGAAACTTGGGGGTGGGCGGGGATTCAGGAAGTGCATATACTATGAGCCGGAGATTGTTCTCTCGAAATTTGACGGATTTTTGGTCGGTTGTTCTAGCCGTATTGCACGGAGTTGCTTGACAGAAGACCCTGGATGAGGGTTTGAGTCACACAGCAAAAGAACAATATGTGTAAGTAAAAATATGCCACACTGGACACTGGGTACCTGCAGTCATTTTTTATGTAGGAACAGACATATATTAGTAAATGTATTTAGATAGCACTAATTAATTTATTACCATATTTGCAATCTGGGAATGGACGTCCTCATATTTGCTCAAGGCAAGTAATTTTACTCTTTTATATTGCAAAGTTGCTTAACATGTGGCCCTTATTTACCTTGGTAAGCATTAGTCTGAAGTTTCACTGGTGTCAGAGGGACAATCTAGGTGAGTAATTCCTCAGCGTTACCTGTCAATGCTCAGCCATCTGGCCCTGAATGTTTTCAGGGGTAAATATACTCGCAACATCAGGTATCTTTGTGCCTTAATGATAAAAAAGATACTGGCCAACAGTTTGCAGAAATGAAAGCACAGAATTTATTAACTGGAAGGAAGGAGAGAGACCAGGCTTGGCAGCATATTTATTCTGTATCTTCACGTGAACAGAAATCGGTGGCAATGAACTGAGGAAGATTTGTCTTTGAAAGTCATTTTGCTTACCTTACAAATTTACTAGGGAGTACAGATAATAATAAACTTCTAACATGTCTATTTTAACTTGAGCTAACTTTGGTACTTACTCATATCTTAATGCCTCCTCTACACAGTAAAAAAGAGATACCTGAAACAAACAAAAAAGCTATCTGTAAATTATGATCATCATAGTTCTCCCTGTATTTTACAATCATCCTCATCCTTAGGCTGTTTTATCTGTGTATAACAGGGACTGGGTCTTAACGTCATTGTTGTGCATCACAGGAGGAGGTCCTCACAGATAGCCCTATATATTTTTGCACTTAGAATGAATGCAGAAAATGAAGACTCCTATTCCTGATTATTCAATAGATTTCCTGTGTGATCTGGTCCAAATTAATTAATTCATCCTCGATCTGCTTCATCCAAACCACATGAATTCATTAGTGGCTCTTACGTGTAAATAATAATAAAGTACATCTCCTGAGTGCTGTGATGACTTAAACTGTGAATCTCTTGAGAAATTGCAAATCACAGATGACAAACACTAAAACCAGCAATATAAGTCAGTGTCTGATTGTAATGTAATACTAAGCAGTAGACTTTTTGCTGGGTAAGTATGGTGTGTGTTTATGTCGGCTTGTTTATGTTATACTGATAAACTTGTACTACAAACATAACCTCTGTGGTTAAAAGGAGCACAATTTGTTGCCTTTTGCCTTGCTGCTCTTGACTGAATAGATGGCATTTCCACCATGGATCCATAGTGCATACTAGATCATGCGTAGTCACCAAACGTACCCAAAGAATGGAATATCAGAATCCAGATGTAACACAGCTGCTTTTAAAACAGAATTTCCATGAATATGAAGACTGAAGACGACAAACATATGACCCCAGTATTCAACAGTCAGCACAGAATGCAAATGTCATTTTCACTACTGCTGCAAAATAGTTATTTAGCACTAGTGTTGGGCCCGGTAATTCCAAAATTCTGTATTGCCTTGACTCATGAAAGCAAATACTAAGTGGAAGAAAGGCGTTTCTTTTGTAAACTGCGCTGACAGGATTAGTCATTTCACAGAGGTTACTGAAGGATGCTATCAGATAACAATAACTTTGATCACTGAAAGCTGCAGTCAACCTGATAAGCTAGAGTACAAAGCTGCTATATCCCATTTCAAATCCCTGTGTATCAGCCTGAGGTCCTGATTTTTTATAATCTGATTCTGAAACCACCTAAAAATGATTTCTCCAAAAAGAAACACATTTTAGTTTAACCTGACAGGATTTTTTTTCCTGATTTTTTTTTTTTTCTGTTTTAGACAGAAGTAGCTGAACTGCAGAGCGCCAGCAGAAGGGTTATTCAAATGTCTTGGTTGCTGCAGACCGTTAATATGATGTGGACTGTGCGACACAGCTTACCTTTCTGTATAATGCGAAATTAGGAAAATAAAGGAAAAGTCCATGAAGCCCTTACACAAAGATAAGAAAGGAAAGATAAGGAGAATACAGAAAAAGAAACTACAAAGAAATTGGCTGAGAAGATGCAGAGTCCTTGAACTTTGGCCCAAGTAAATAAATACTTCATTCCTTAATGCAAGAAAACAATGCAGTTGCATGACTCTGAGCTCATCTTACCTTGTCTCCTTGTCTTGTCTTTGTCTTGGTATTTCTATTTTTAGAATATACTCATAATTGATAGGATCACAATATAACCAAGAGTTTCATGTATCTCATTACCTTTTGATTGACTGCTATAATAATGCAAATACCTATTCATCAATGTTTTGTCATGATTTCAGGAAACCATTCTGTAACGACATGGGATACCAAATGGATTGCTTTGCAAGTAGAATGTCTTTATTGTCTCTTTCTGCAGATCACATCGTGTTGTCACTTTCAGTTAACATATCTGACAGACTGTTACTCAGCAGACTTTTTTTTCCTGCAGAACTTCCTTTCCTTTCAGAAATCTGAATTCAGCTAACACCATTATTTAGTGCTTCTATGCTCGTGTATTGCAAAAACCTGTTAGTACAAGTCCCTTACTATTTTCATAATCTCTTATCTGAGGAGAAAAAATACGTGACAAGACATAATAAATAGAATTATCTTCCTGTATGTTTCTCTTGTGAGGAAATTGATCAAGTTTTTCTAAAAGTTTGAGTCAATTTTATCTACTCCTCCTCTGTCGATATCTTTATAAGAATTTAGTACACTGCATAAACAGATTTAGCCATTCCTTTTCCTTTCATTTGCTGTAGTCTAAGTGCTTTAGAGTTCTCTTTATTGATAGCTAAATTATCTGGAACTAAAATATTCAGCATCAGCCCTAGCACAATTTTTAGAGGTGGACACAGCATTTTCTGCCCTCAACTCCTTAGTTTGGTATCTGATTTTAATGTTAGAGTATATATTTTTATTCAAAGCTCAGCCACCTTTGTCTGTAAGCTCCTTCAAAACTCCTCCATGTATCACCCGTCTTGTTAATATTTAATGTATTTTTGTTCCATCACTTTTTCCACTGTTCCTGCTAGTGCCTCACCTTTACTATCAGCAAAGAAAAGGTCTGAGGTAGGAACCTGCAAAATATTTTTTTGTTAGTTTGATACAAAGAAATTATTTAGTTTCAATAATGCACATTATTCTAAACCATTCCCTTCACCTGGTCGCAGTCCAGCAAGCCCCCACCTCTTTCTGCTGGTGCTTTCACCGTGGCTGGGCCATGGCCAGACTGGGTGGCCGAGGTTGGGCCACCTGGGACATGTATGAGAGGGAGCACTCTGCACCTTCCACTCTCCTGCGCGCCTCACAGGAGCAAGCACTTCCCACACTGCCTCTCCTCTCAAGTGCTAAGAGACTTTGCTGCCCAGCAAAGAGGCTGGAGTAAGAAAGGCACGTCCACTTCTCTCTTTGCCCGGTAGATGTCCTATCCACCAGACAGCACCTGTGCTGCCCAGTCCATCTTTCTGTAGCTGTCTTCTGTGATGAGGACCTGAATGCAGAGACAGGCCCTAGGAGAAATCTCAGTCTGGTCCCATTGGAAACTCAAGGCAAGGGGAAAGCAACCTCAGAACACAGCTTTGGCACAGGTGAAAGGCTTCTGACCAAATGGCTTTCACCTTCCTCAAACCCACTAGCATTTCCACAGACCCTTGCTGCACAGTAACATAAAACCAGGCAATGACCCAAAGTCACCACTCTGAAAGATAAGTGTTTATTACCCATCTTCTACTTGCAAAGCCTTCCATCAAGAATCAGAGTCCCATTGTAGTAGGCACTGTAAAATATCTCAAGAAATCTAAGGCTTTTTTGCCACACACAATTAACCATATGTCAAGAGGCATCAGATATAGAAAAATGAGAGAGATGGACTGGGGGAGAGAGTTAACAGGGAATCATAATAAATAGACAAGGCCTAAGAATATGAAGTACCACAAGGAAAATGCCTGTCACCTGTGACACTTCAATTCTATTTGATTGTCTCTGCATCTGCTCGTTCTCCTTCTTTTTAATCCAAACAGAAAGCAGTATTTTCACAATAATATATTTTCATTTCTATGAGGTAGGATTTGTAGTTTGAGTAGATTCTCTTCACTCTATTTTTATCTCATTAGATTCAATATATCTATTGATTAGTTTAGGTTCAAGGAAATATTGTGTGCATAAAATATGCTGGAACCTTGTAGCTTAACTTTGAGCCATTTTTTATAGCTTCATTATAAAACCCCAGAAAATTGCACTGTTTTAATAGAAATGCTGACATCCCCTTAACTACAGTGACATTAATTGAAGCTACCATAATTTATCATCATTTTGAAGATTATAACCCCTAAAAGTACATTAAATAAGAGTGCATTACTGAACAATTATAGTAAGCAAT